TTACGCAAAATACTGAACATTCTCTGTCTGGATACTATCAGCAACAGAGTTTTATGGGAGAGAACAAACCAGCTTCCAGCTGAAGAGGAAATTAGGAAAAGACGTTGGAAGTGGATCGGACACACATTAAGGAAATCACCGAACAATCCGTAACTTGGGATCCTGAAGGAGGGCGGAAAAGAGGGGGGCCGAAGAACACATTACTCCAGGAAATAGAAGCAGATATGAAAAGGATGAATAACAACTGGAAAAAATTGGAAAGGATTGCCCAGGACAGGGTTGAATGCAGAAAAGCTGGGTGCGGCCTATGTTCCTTCACGAGAGGTAACAGGCGTAAGTAAGTATGTAAGTAAGTAATCATTCCAAATTAATATCAATGAATGCCAGCTAAGTGCTCTTGAGGGTAAGTGTTCTTGCAAGAGATCGAATGTCCTGGATTCAGATCTCATGTGTAGGACCGTAGATATCCACTGTTGAGAAGTCCCATATTATGATGAAGTGATCATCCAATGCTTTCAAGTTTCTAGTGCTGATCTAACATTGATTGATTCATGTTTTCAGTCAAATTCAACAATGTCCATATTTCTATACTTAAAACTGAAAAGTGACTTGAACTGTAAAACAATGTTAGGCGGGTAATTAATCATTGATTTGAATGTAAAACAAACTACTTGTTAATCATATTCTGAGTTGTTTCTAGTAACTTTTATTATGCTCATACCGCTTGGTAATCAATGTGATACGATCGTCAATCAGGACATCGACTTAGTGACCAGATCAATGACGAATAAACCAGTACGAGCAGTTCAGAATCATTCAACTAGTTGAGAACTCAAAATTATTATGCAATCTCAATCGAGAATTGTTTCATTCAGACTTGAATCAACCTCATGAAACTGTAATATTTATAATGATGTTTGTGAATAATTAGAATATAAACAACGGGAAAACACAGCTAATTACTAATAAACATAAGAGTTTTAGTTATCTAGACTCAGTAATTTCGTGAATAACCGATTAGTGCTTCAAACGTTAGGTATTATGTTAAAGATTCAGTACAACAGAATGAAAAGCTTACACTGAACTTCCATCATTATACAAAGATGAAATGAAAGTGGAATAGCAGTGACAATCACAAGGGCTGTACAATCTTATTACTTACTTACTTACTCCTGTTACCCACAATGGAGCATAGGCCGCCGACCAGCATTCTCAAACTCACTCTGTCTTGGGCCTTCCTTTCTAGTTCTACCCAATTTTTATTCATTCTTCTCATGTTTGTCTCCATTTCTCGCCGTAATTTGTTATTTGGTCTTCCTCTTCTCCTTTGGCCTTCGGGATTCCATGTGAGGGCTTGTCTTGTGATGATGATTTTCTTAAAGTGTGTCCTATGCACTTCCAACGCTTCTTCCTGATTTCTTCCTCCACTGAAAACTCGTTTGTTCTCTCTCACAGTAACTTGTTGCTGATAGTGTCTGGCTGACGGGTGCGAAGTATATTGCGTAGACAACTGCTAATAAACACTTCTATCTTCTGGATGATGGTTTTGTAGTTCTCAAGGTTTCCACTCCATTCATTAGAACGGTCTTGACATTTGGATTGAAAATTGTGACTTTGGTGTCGGTTGACATTTGTTTTGAGTTGCGGGTGTTCTTCAGTTGTTGGAATGATGCTGCTGCTTTGCCGATCCGCGCCTTCACATCTGCATTAGATCCACTGTGTTCATCAATGATGCTTCTCAGATATGTAAAAGTTTTTATAACCTCCAATGCTTCTCTGTCAAGTGTGATTCGATTGATGTTTGTTGTGTTGTTTCGAAGAATCTTGCTTTTCCCTTTGTGTATTCTAAGACCTACTGCTGCTGAGGCTAGTGCTACACTGGTCGTCTTCTCCTACATTTGTTGCTGAGTGTGTGATATGAGAGGTAAATCATCTGTGAAGTCTAGATCGTCCAGCTGTATCCTAGCTGTCTATGATATCCAATTATTCCCCCCAGATGTCTACATCTTTACAATCCGTACAATATTATACCATTTATGAAGCTTCAAAAATCCTACCCATTCCACATAACTGTCATTGTTTTATTATTTGTAGTAGGTGCTTAGTGAACGAGAACACAAGTGGGGACAAACTAATGTATTCCAATACAAAATTACAGCATCACTTAGTAAAATCTGAGAACTATACAGTAAATATTTGATTAACAAAATGTCAATCAGTTGCCTCACTTTATTGTTCCTTCATTTCCACACCAATCACTCAATGTTTTCATTCTCTTCTCTTCGACTTTCTTAACGTTCTGCAGCTAGGCATTTAACATTCGATTGATGATACATACTACTTATATTTATATCGACATCAGTAGTACATATCACAGTTGTAGTAGTAATAAAATTACTATATTATTTCAAAATCTTCATAAATTGAATTTATTGTACAAGCAAATCATAAAATTCATTACCATTTTAATTTTTCCCTGGATTCTTTTTATTTCAAATCATTTTCTTAATCGAATTTTTGCATAGAACAAATGTCAAATAGCCCCGTTTAGTTAGTAATATTTGTAGAATGAGTAGTAGTAGTAGTAGTAGTAGTAGTAGTAGTAGTAGTAGTAATCATATGCGTGACCTAAATTAATTCCAATTAAACAACAGCTTTTTTTATGCCTACTTGTTGTGTTTTTTTTCGCCTAATAAATCATAATGTTATTACAATTAATATTAAGATTATTATAATGGTGTTTCAGCTGTTACCACTGATGGCGGTATCCTTGTGTACAGCCACATATGCACATATATACATATATGTAGATGTACATAGAACTACTTATCTATGAAGATTGACTATATGTATGTTGATGAATAGGTATAGCTATATGTGTGTGGTTATATATTCATATGTATATTGGTATGTATTTAGGTGTGAGAAAGAGAGGAAATAAGATACCCTCCAAAAATTTACTAAATAATTACCACTATTACTGTAAGCTTAAATATAAACGATAGTAAGTAGATATATTAAATTAATTTTACTTTACTAACAATGACTTATATTGGTTAAATATTACTCAAAACAGTAGTGAGTAATATATGCAGACATAACAACAACAACAACAACAACGACAACAACAAGGAAATACATTAAAAACACTATATCTTCTTAAGAAGATGTACATCAATGGAAACTTTTTTTTTAAAAAAATATATCAGCAATATTGAAATATGAACATTGATTAAGATGAAAAAAAGAAAAAAAAAGACGGGAGGGTAAATTTGTTTTTCCTTTTTCTTGTTGTTTTTGTGTGTGTGTTGTTACAAACGTTTACTTCTAAAATCAGTAACTTATTTATTTACTTATTGAATTTATTTGTAGAGAGAAAAAAACGTTCAAATGTAATTCACTAAGTATTGTTTGTTTGAATATTCCCATTGATGCTCTAGGAATGTAATTGATCAATCTCTTATTGGCATATGTGCATTCTGTATGGACTGCCTTAATATAGCCTGAATTAAGGCTAGTGAATCTCAACTCTAAGATGCAGGTACATCCAGTTGATGAGTCCCAAATAGGATGAAACGCGCGTCAAACTAGATTCCACTGGTAGCCACTAACCTACTTTGTTCAAATGAAATATTTTCTAGGTCTTATAATTATAGAATGACTTTAGTTAGACACTCTTTTGAAACTATGAGGCACTGTATAGCTCTTCTACCCTAATAAAAGTCATCTCAGCCTAATGTCTATTCATGACCCTATTGGATGTTGAACTCAAGGCTTTCAATTTTCTCTGCGAGTGACTAAGCGTACTAGGATTATACTAGAATGAAACAGCTCTCCAGTGAGTCTTGTTTAATTAAGATTATTTCGTTTTGTAAAGCATGAAATTTAAAAATTTCCACAAAAATTTACAATCACCATTTTTATATCATTAAATGTATTGCATGATTAGGAACTGTGTCTATTGATGGTTAGAACGGTGCTCAGTCTTTTTCTGAATTTTATTGAGAATCACATGTATTTCCATCAATAGTTTTTTAAAGTGATAAGTTTATAATGGAACGTTGATTATTTAAACTCAATCGTTGTTGCTGCCTTGACGTGATGGTCGGGCTTGCCAATCGTAGTGGAACAGTCGAACTACACGAACTGGAACAATAGTTACTCAAGGTCCAACCATGCCAGACAAGTCGGTTGAAGAGCGACAAGACTAAAAGCTGCAAACTCAAGGTCTAAGGGCGAAGTCGTACTGCTTACTGTACAGAGGTGTGACGGCAGTAAGGTGCTTCCTTCAGACAACCAGCATAACAGCCATACTGCCTTCACACAAGGAAGGGTGGGATTAAAAAAGGTTAACCTTGAAATGCATACCTCGTCTTATCCCACGGATATCCGTCTCCTGTGGTAAGGTTTCAACAAGTTCGCTGCTAACACTAAAATAATCCACAAAAAGGTTGTCTGTGGCCGACCTCAAGTGGTTGTTTCTTGGTCACGACAGTCACACACTCAGGTCACTAAGACCACTCGTGACCCCATTTCCTTTTCATGTACCTTCAGAAGAACCCTCCCATGGTGTGAGAAAATGGAAAGTGATAACCGCTTATATACCTCTAATAGCATTCAAGACTGAGTGACTGATTATTTATTACAAATTATCGGTGAATTAATGTTTAATCTGAAAAAAACCGGATACGACAGAACCGAAATAGTAAAACCAAATCATTTTGAAAATGGATCAGTATATGTTCGAAAAGTAAATCATTGATCAGTAGATATTAAATTTGATTCAGTTAATTTATATAAAAATTTTGATTGAATATTCGACTGTACAAAAAAAAAATTAATGTGTCCATGTATCACTTTGATTCATTTTTAAAATCTAAAATAAATCCTTATCATAAGTCTTTGGTTTTCATTACGCGTAATTTCAAATATAGAAGTTGATATTACCTTTAAACATAAAGCTTCAAATAACTTTTTTAAAGAGAAAATGGTAAACTCACGTGAAACACTATCCGTTGGCTTGTGTGAACCTAAAAATGAAACAGAAGTGGATAAATATATTTTCTATTATATATACACATGTAATCTTGTGACATTTCAACTATATTACACACTGTCATAGTTAAAGGGGCAAAGACTAAACTTTAGGACTAGAATATTAACAAAAATTATTCACTGAATTACAACTACTATCATGTCATATGAGGTTTTAGAGTTTATTGACTTTCATCTATTAAGTTACAATGTAGCCACTAATTTGAAAAGGTTTATTCAGTACATGTTTATATGCATTTATGTATACATGTGTTTATATTTGCACTATCTAATTAATCAGGATTAGCTTTTGTCCAATAGTATTAAAGAATATTTAAATAACGTTTATTCTTTAAGGTTTATCAATTGCGGGTGCGTAGAACTCTTAGAGTTTGGAAGATTATTTCAAAAACTGGATGGTGTGAGAAACTATGCTAAGCTCTTTCAAATAGAACTAACCCTAGAGGTACATACCTGAATATATAGTGTATTCCTGTAGTGGATCACCTAGCAGTTGTTTCAGTGTCAATCATCAATATGTAAAAGATTTTACATTTAACTGACAAGATATTCGCCCATTCAGTGATTAAATAAACTTAAAATTACGTATTTGTTTATATCTTATAGCTCTGTGGGTAGTTGAATAAAACAAAACTTTATAGGTTTTCTAACTTTTTCTCTCAGTTCTAGTAGCGAGAGAGATATCACTGTTAGGAAAGAATGATGATTGCACAATACCATGAACTAATTTAGAATGAAATGCTCGTCATTTGATTTCGACTCGCTGGTCTAAGGCCAACTCACTATTTTTGAGACTGAGAATATTGAATTCACTCTCTAGCTACGTCGTTAATGGACATTTCTAAGTAATCTTAAACTATTTAATGGTTCTGAGATTTCAAGAATTGTCTAGATAAAACCAATTCATAGTCATAAGCATCCTTCACCTACAATAATGACTGATTCCAACAGAAAACTAATACAATACATGTCATTATAGACTGATCTCAGTTGATGTGTCTGTGAGAACCAGCAAAACATCAACAACTATTTCTTTCCATTAGAGAACTTCTCAGCAGTTTGTGAATACAACTACACTAAAGACCAAACTCAAGACCATCGGGTATCCTTAGGAATTCCTATACTAGGTCGAAATATCTGTTCAATGTATCTGGGTATTCAGTGATGACCGCAATGAAATAGGTCTATGACAAATACTATATATATAATAAACTAATCTTCACAAAACCATTTTATAAAAAAATATACCTATCAGTATGATTTACCTGTTTGAATAAACCGATAAACTGCTTGAAATCCTCTATGAGCAATAGTTGAATCACTATGAAATCGTAACCACATATACTGACCAGTTGATATGAGACCAGCGCCTAAATCAGGTACTTGTTTTGAACAAAATCTTCCCAATAATGTAGTAAATCCAAAAGCACCATCTCTTATTTCTAAAAAATCTGTTGTACAATGTGATTCTGGTTCTAATTCAAATGTTCCACGAAAATGTAACACAATACGATGTTGATCTGTAGGTGCTGTGTGAAAAAAAAAAACAAAGTTTGGGGGGAAGTCAGGAGATTTTTATACATTTGAGTTATAATAAAACATACTTATGTGAATTACATAATACGTCAAATGCGTCAAAATACCAATAATTTCACTATAATTTAGTAAGAATTGAAAAGCTTATCTACTTTGCATGTAAATCGCTTGATATTGACTTCCTAACTGCTATCTAGTTTTCAAGAGTCTTATACAATTGGACACTAAATGTAATACAAATGGTGTGAAGCAGGAAAAGATCTACTCTCAAGTTAATTTCATGTTTGATGAACACGGATATTTATAAGATAATGTACTATCTAAAGACTACTATCTAAAGAAATCTCCAGAATGAATAGCAGAATCGGTAATTCTTCAGTCAGATTAGTGAAGACATTTTTGATTGTCTTCTACGATTCATTTAGAAGTCCCTTCAAAACATTAATTTGTCAGAATATTTTTAGCATTCTTATAGCTCCTGGAGATATGTTCTAGGGATTATCAACGGTTCCTGATAAAAATTAATGACAACACTAATGGTTATTTCGTCTAGTTTTATTACTTCTCATCAATGTACAGATATAAACTTTAAAAAGGATAATATTCAAAGCTTTAATATTTGCCTAACATCTGTTAATTTGAAATTTAGACACATTTATGATTACATAACTCGAATAAACAAACATTTCGACTCTCAACTGTCATCTCATAATTTTATGGAGAACATTTGAATCTTAGGAGGATTAATCTACTGGAACTGTGTTCTTTTGAGCTGGGTGGTTTACTTATCTCCTGTTGTTTATCTAGCTTTGGTGAGTTTGTTCAGAAACGTACAGATCTGAATCTTCAGATTTTTAACAGGATCTGTACTCACTAACCAGTACATGTTTTATTCCTCAAGTAACTCTTAAGCTTTCTAAATGTCATTTGTTATTACCCAGTTATTGTATTGCGTCTCCTTACCGCTGAAAATATGATAGTAGATTTCTTAAATGATTATGTTTGTACATGATCAGATGAGTGTGGTATTTCTTCTAACAAGTGAGGGGTACTGTGGTGTGTTCTACTGATGTCGATATAGATATAAGTAGTATGCATGATCAAGCGAAAGTGAAATGCCTGGCAGTATAAGGTTACTAAAATCGAAGTGAAAAAGAACGAGAATACCAAGTGATTGGTGTGGAAACGAAGGAACAATGAAGTCTGAGACAACTGATTGACATTCTATAAATGAAATATTTACTGTATGGTTCTCAGATTTTATCAAAATATTTTATAATGTTTTACTACATTCGGTTGTCCCCACTTGCGTTCTCGTTGACTTTAGTACTACTGTTCGACATATTTCGTGTCAGCATTCCTCACTTATTCTTGGTATCACAGATCTAACGATTTAATTAGAGAAAAAACTCAGTTATGAACATATCTAACATTCTAAGCAAAGATGAATAGTTGCTAGCAGTGGAAACCAAGACGCGCATTCCGTCCTCTTTGGGGTTCATCAGCTCGATGTACCTGCATCTCAGAATAAATGTTCACTCTGGGACTCGAACTTAGAAACCTTTGCTTCAAACGCCATCACGTTAACCACTCAGCTACTGAGTCCTGATAGACACTTGCTTGTGTAATGGGGTGAAGTTTAAATACACTTGTTATTGTTTGTTTGAATCTTCCCATTGATGATTAAAGACTGATCAGCTGCAGTTCTAAAGCATCAATGGGAAGATTCAAACAAACAATGCTAAGTATCTACCATTATTACTAAATTAATAACTAATATACATTTTATGAAGTTCAACTATGTATCTACTTAATCCAGTTCAAATGACAAATGAAATATTAACCAGTAGTAATATATATGTTACATATATGGATGAAAACATTCACTTTTCATAAATAAAGGTTTCGTGATACCAGACAGTAATGATCTATGAGGTACTCAGAATCATATTGACTACTTCATAATCGAGGACATGTCCTGTGAATGATTCGAGCTTCAACTAACCTCCTATAAAATAATGATGTTGCTTTCTGAGTGGCTAAGCTGAGTTTTCGTAAACTGTAGAGCTTGGTAATGAGATTTCGAATCTACCTAAGTGCATCATTCCACTCAAAATCCCAAAAGTGACTTACTGATGGGTTCAAAGTAAATATAATATCAAATAATCGTATACATTCTTACACTCTCTACTCCACATGAATAGTTGGGGAAGAGCAAGAAGATGTAGATTAATTACTTAGGTAGGCAATAGGACATAATGTTCTATACTGGAAGAAAACGTTCGATCTTTACATCACAATTCTCAATAATTATCTATTTGATATAAGCTTTTGTTTCCTAATGGCACTCATTTATACTAGTGTACTGCAAAATTTGCTTTCCTGAAGAATTCAAGGGAAAACAATTATTTTCTGAAAACCACTCCTTAAGAAAATGAAATTCATTATAGACAGTGAAGAAGCTTTGTAGCTGACAAGAATGATCTTGATGTAGTTTCATTTCCTGAGCGAGATTTTTTAATCTTTGAGCTGTTAGCCAAATATAGATGAGTTCCAATACTTCATTTCTACCCGAAATTTTTGAAGATGACGTTGTCCAGACGAACAGTAAACACTTAGTAAGTAAACTAATCCCTTCAGACAATGAAACTTCATCGAAATCACTGCATCATAATCTACATTTAATTGTTATTACTAATAAGTAGTTTGATCAAAATAATCAAAAAAATATGGGAGAAGTTTTCATCGTCAAATTAACTTTGAAACTGTCACTATTTCAGTAGTATTGAGATTTTATCATACAAAAGAAGTAGGTTTTGACATCACCATGTTATGCTTTCATACAACAGTAATATATCATTAAGTATATTTATATTCAATTATTAATAATAATGACAATCGAATTCTAGACACAAAATAATTAATATTGCATAGAATTCATATATTATAACTATTTGAATTGTGTATAGTTGACAGAAACTATATCTTACTAAGTGTTCTAACAGTGACCAGCCTCCATTTATCTTCACCGTTAAAAATTTTTCAACTCATCCCCTTCTTCGCACAGGAATTTCATTAAGATAACCTTGATTCTTCCCTCTCAGAATGTGTCTTAAATTGTTCTATTAAAAACCCATTGGTAGATCAACAATTGATTAGTGAAAATCAAATAAACACAGGAAACTTTATGGTTGTATTTCCACATTTCTTAGAAAGACAGCTGATCAAGTAGGTTCCTACAGAGCATTATTAACTTTCAATGATGAATTTAGAATGATTAATAAATTAAGACCTAATAATCATAATCTTCATAAGCAAACTCAATACTACTCATTATGTCATTCAGTAGGGAAAATCACTTTCAAATTTTTTTATAAAAATAATCCAGACAATAAATTTACTTTACGTCGTTTAAAATTGCCAAGGCCATGTACCAGATTTTCACTGTTCAACTTATGTCTTTTAACGAGCTATTTCAATCAATTTTTAACTCATGTAGTATAATAGGGCTGAAAATTAAAGTATCGCCCCCAAATGCTCTAGTACGGCAGAGATTGGAGAGAGTCAGCTCTCCCTTTCCAAATGCTCTCACATGACCACACGTATACTGCTACTCAGGAAGTTCCTAATCGCTACGCAGGGGTGTTCTTTACGAAAATGAGAGGACGAAAAGCGAATGTCCGGCGCTTTAACCGGGTTGGTGGACACGGAAAGTTCACATAGGGTAGTTGAAAAACCCTGATTCCAAACCATTGGTGCACATGGGGTCCAGTATCCTGAAGGAACAAATGGCGTATGAATCAATCATCGGTCGCCGACTACCATGGGACTGCATCTTCTTACAATGCTCCACTGCCTTGTAGTTCAGATCTTTAGGTCAAAGGCTCGGGGTTCGATCCCCTAAGAAAACCACCTGCCGCAGTTTGGGCACCTCTTCAGTATCCATGCCCCCACACAAATCTAATTTGATTTATGTGACGCATATCTATTTGGTGCTTCCTTGTACCATTATTTATGTGTTAAAATAAATAAATACAATTGAAGTGCAACTTTTATCAAAGATTTTATTTATTGATTACATAGTTTTATGTAATCGTCTGTTATAAACATGTCCAAAAATAATGAATAAACATGAAAAACGTGACGGATAACATCAGTCATCAAACAAAAATTTAAAAACAGTCATTATTCAAATATAAATTTATCTTCATTAATTATACACGCAAATATTCCTGCTTCATTGTAACTAACCATAGACATTTACATATGTGGTTAGAGAGACAGACATGTTCATATATACAAATAAATAAATAAATATATATATATATATCAGAAAGGGTTTTGTGGAGATCTCAGTATTTTCATAGTCCCACAATTGGACAAAATGGCTGTCCAGTGCTTTCACATATTCCTTGGTGGTCTAGCTTCAATTGACTAATGCTTTCAATTATAGAAATACGTATATATTTCAAAGTTGGCACGTATTATCTAGCTTAATTCATTTTAGGCACTTCAAATTTCATAAAAATAGTTCCGAATTCTAGTTGAAGAAGTAGAAGAAGAAGAAGATTTCTACACTAATATAAATACTACTCTTTAAAAATGAAAAAAAATTGTTTTGATCCAATTAAATGATTTCGTCACTTATCCTCTCACACATTTCAGTTTTTGTTTTCAAAGTCGCTTCTCTCTTTTTTTTTTTCAAAAAATATAAAACTTTATTTATAAAAATGAAAATTAATTTAAATTCATTGAACCGATTCCCCTGTTCCTTTTTCTTTTTTTCACTAACAAATTGCTTATTGCAAAAAAAAACCATATTAATAATCATAATAAATAAACAATTTATAATCGATTGATTGATTATTATTATCATAGAAACCAAAACTCGATATAGATATGGTGGTAATCGCCAAGGCAACACTGTGTGTGTGTCTATATCTGTATGTATGTGTATATGTGTGTCTATATGTAAGTCAAACAGATAAGTGCTCATCATAAATAAATAGAACATATAGAATGTAACATACAAAATTAAGTTTAACTGAAGCTGTATATATATATACGCAAAAAATGAAACTTTTTTTGTTTTTCTTTTCTTTTTTTTGCTTTTTTTTAAAAAAAAATTTATTGGTGTTATTGTCTTTGTTATGGTTTTATATAGAAGAAAAGAAAAAAAATTTTTTTTTCTTTTCTTTCTTTATAAATAAATTATAATTAAATCTTTTTTTTAAAAATTTTATTTATATACTCATTATCAATTCAATGAATTGTCTAAGTTATTTTGATAAAAACAAAAAAAAATTATTATTTTTTTGGAAACAATAAAATTTTTCGAGAAGAAAATTGTGGGGGATTGAAGTTCATAATATGGTATATATACAAGAGGTCAACTATTGCTTGAATGATTCTATGATAATGTGATGTGGTCTACTTATATTCATATAAGTAGTTTATGGTGATGTTCAGGCATAGAATGTATTTTTTGGCAGAAGATCGGTAACGAAAGAACAGGAATGAAACGCAATCGGTAGGAAAATGCATGAACAATGAAATCAGAGAAGATGGACTGATATTTGCAAAAGGAACATTTAAGATTGAGACGATTGATTGTTATTTTGAAAATTAATTGTTTACTTTATGGTTATCAGAATTTAGTGAGATAGTCTGTAACTAGTGCTTAAATACATTCGATTTTCCCGTAGTTGGGCTCTTGTTCACAACTATAAAATTTCAGATTGTGAAGCTGTTTGATATAAGATGAAATTTTTTCAATAAAAAGTAATTGCTTCAAGATTCTATGTAGGCTTTGTTGTTAAGTGATAAATAATATGGAACTCAGGTTAAGCAGAGTTTTTTAATTGAGTATTATAAAACTGCTAAAGTTTGAATCCAGTGTGAATGTTTTTTAAACCACTGTTCACCTTGGGACTTGATAGGTAGTCGTTTCATCGATCACTACTTGATGATTGATTAATTAGATTGATATTAACTTAGCAACCATTAATAAAAACCATAGCAACTCATCAAAATTATTTTGCATGTACTTAGATCTTTTCATTATCTGTGGTCACAACTCAAGGTACAATCCTAAATCTTTAGCTGTCACATTTAACGTATTATCTTGACGATAAAAATAATAACAAGAATGATGATTTTATTGAAAAGAAGAACCGGTTTTTACTTAAAAATCACCTATTTTTTATTGTAACATGGTAAAGTCAATGTTTGGCTTGCTTAATAAATTTGACAAGTTCGACTTCATAACCAGTAAGGTTAACAAATGCTTCAGTTTTCATAAACATGAATTTTTAAAGTTTAAATCATGAAAATACTCTAGATAAACCATAAATAAAAACCTGGAAACATTGGACAGTGATTATATTTTATCATGGGACTCCTTAACAGTACGCATTCATGATCCCTCAAGCGTAAACTCAAACCCAGGACTTTCTGTCTCACGTGTGAACTCTAAACTTCTAGACCACTTTAATGGATTCGTGATCCTGTACAATCTTTCATCTATTGTATCATGTGCATAAATGTTTACACTGATGAGGAGTCTCATACTAGGACGAAATAACCATTTAGTGTTTTCAGATTTTTCATGATGGTCTACTTTTAATTGACTCATGAATTCAACTGTTGCAATTTATTTTTGTAAAAAGAAAAATTAATTAATCTGTATATAAACTTACCAGCAATCACTTTAATACATTCAATATTTAATGGATATGGTGATGGATAATTAGGTGTTTGAAAACTATATTCAATTGTTCTTTTAGGTAAATTAGACATACCAAAAAAACCATTTAACATTGATGAATCTTTTATATATTTAATTTCAGTTGATTGAATAAATTCCATACATTTAACATCTTGATATGGTAATGTATAATCAGGTATTGTAATTTCTTCAGGTTCATTATAATTTGTGATTTGTTTCTGCCGTCCTTCAGGTTGTCCTTGATGTTGTCCTTGTTGTTGTTTTAAATTACTTCGACGTTCAATTTTATGAATTATTTGAATATTTGATATATTATGATGATAATCAATAATGTATTGATTTTTTATATTATTATTATTATTATATAAATTATAAGATATGTTTTTATTGAAAGACATATTTGATTGATTAATAAAATTTGATTGAATTTTGTTTAAATTTAATAATAAAATTAATAAATCCATATAAATTATCGATTTCAAATAAATGATTATTATTGATTTCCAATTTTTATAATAATAATAATAATAATGATACCATCTCCAATCAAATAATTCTATGAACATAATTTTAATAAATAGAATAGATTTAAATAATAAGAATATAATGATTGAATAAAGAAAATAACTGAACTACTGATACTACTAACAATATTATTAGTAATATTATTAGTAGTATTAGTGGTAGTAGTAATGGTTGGTAAACACTTGTTATACAAATGAATAATGAAAATTTGTTTAATTTTTTGATAATTCAATGTTTTAATGATGATAAAAATAATCAATAAAATGTAAATATAATCAATAATTGATTGAATCAATAAATTACAAATTGAATAAATAAAATTTTGATTACATATAATTATAATTTGAATGAAACAATAATATAAATTATAATGATATAATAATATAAGAATTTGTAAATTCATTTGTTTATATCACAATTTATTGATGATGGATAATCTAAAATATATAATAGATATATAGATATAGACATAAACAATAAGAAGAAAGTTGATTATATGTTGAAATGATATGTTAGATCAGTTAACAATGTTGGATGTCGTTTCAATGGTTTAAAGGTTAAGTATTCGTGCGAGAGATCAATAGAATCTAGATTTGAATCTTGAGAGCAGAATCAAGGGTGAGCACTGCTAAGGAGTCACATACTAGAACGAAATGTCCGTTCAATTCTTTCAGGTTTTCCATGATGGTCTAGTTTTAGTTAACTTATGAATCCAACTATTACATTATTACATATATTTTTATTAAACCATTATCGTTTCCTACAAACACATTAAAATATAATGATGAAGAACAGAAATGTAGTCATGTTGATGAGTTAGCTACTTTTATTTTTATGGGAACAGGTTTTTTGTGAAAATTTTAGTAGTTTTTTTATAGTTAAAATCATGAATGAATTGAAACACTGGACGGCTGTTTCGTCTTAGCGTGGGACTCCTCAGCAGTGCTCATGCTCGACTCGTGAGATTCGAGCACAGAACCTTTTAGTTTCACGTGCGAGCGCTTAATCTTTAGACCACTGAGCCGGCATCCAACGGTGTTAATGTCTAACTTCAACCGATTAACGAAATTGAGCAATAGTCCACCATTGTCTTCAGTGAGTTGATATTTCACAACAAATTTTGTTGAACTCCACTGGTCACTGCTTTTTTATCATTAATCGATTGGTTATTATGTAAGAAGTCATTATAATTATAATATTATGTTCAGTGAGTATTATGTAGTTAAGTGATTCTCTTCTAACATAATCATAACGTTAATATTTAATTATTGGTTTTACTAGGCAGCAAATACAATCAATTCTACAAGCATAACAGATTAATGATTTTTGTGTAAACACAAAGTATAGTTAGTAGTTAAACTGATGATATGAACAGAGACTGATCCATTTCAGTTTTAAATAATAATGGGAAGACACAAGCAAATAATAACAAGGGAATTTAAACTTCACCGCAATGCACAAGCAGGTGACTATCAGGACTCAGTAATAAAAGCATAATGCAATGGAGTTTAAAGTGGACGGTATTAAGTTCGAATTCAGGAAAGAACATCAACTCTGTGGGATGCAGATACATTCAGTTAACGAGTCTCAAATAAGATTTGCGATACAGTAATAAATCATGATTGATTGACGTTGATGGAAATTAATGAACAAATAATGAATTTAAAATTTATTCACATTATTAGTATCACATAAGTAGTTTAGCATTTTACATTCAGATTACTTATTTCCTAAAGCATTGAAGAAATATCCATAATCTGACAGATTCTACAAAATTGACATGATGATGGGCATTTAGGAAATAAGTAAAGTTTAGGTATACTATGAACATTACCCTTGACTGTTGTAACAGTAACAGTAACCGTTGTAACTGTTGGAATTATTCAACAAATTTTTCGCGACACTATTAATAAGTTAAAAGCTTCTTCAATACTTCCTTACATAGCAGTGTATGTTCAATGATGGTTTGTTGTAGGACTACACTACAAACATCTTTTTTTTTGATAAATATCATGAAAATTCGCTTGGTATTGTACTGTTTGAATCTTCCCATTGATGTTTTAGGACTGCAACTGGTCAGTCTTTAATTGGCATATGTGCATACTGTGTGTATCGCCTCGATATAGCCTTAATTCACAAGCATGGTAAGGAAAGATGGATAGTGGCTAGCAATGGGATCCAGTTTGACGTGCGTTTCGTCCTATTTGGGACTCGTCAGCTGGATGTACCTGCATCTGAGAGTTGATGTTCACTCTGGGACTCGAACTCAATACCTTTTGCTTCAAATGCCATCACGTTATCGACTCGTCCATGAAAATATTATTGGTTACATACCTAACCACATAAACTAAAGCAAGATTATATCACCAATTTTGCTAGAACTATGAAAGTGCAGAGCGCAATTGGATGCCTGGTTCTAACTAAGTTTGTAACTCCGAAGGATTACACACAAAATCTAACATGGAATTATCAGACATTTTTCTGGAAGCATAATACCTTTAGTCCACTGTCATAGGATAAATCAACTACCTACTGCTTTATTGGTTTTCGAAGGATCTCTAGTTGATATTGATCTGAAAACTATCTGCCAATCGTCAACTGGAATCTCACAAGCGAATTATGCAAGAAAAATCATGATCTCGTACCACTATGTCTTTGAGTAAGTTTCATCTACATATGGAAGGTGATCCAACTTCAATGTGTTAGAAACATACTACCATAACTTGATGACGGTGAATATTGTACTTGAAAGCTTAAATAACGACTTTCTAGTCAATTCCCAGACCCTAGAAGTTATTTAGCGTTATATCAAGAAAAATATATTGACTATATATAATGTTCAGGAGCCATTTTATAGTAAATAGTAGATTGCATAAAAAAACACGAGTGTATTTATCAAACTTTATGGCCTTAAGATTCAATAAGTTCACAGAGAACATACTTAAAAGTCAGTAATGGATATGGTCATAATCCAATCAATATGAAAAAACCATAATCAATTTTTGTCTAGGTTTCTCCTAAAACTTTTCACAAAAGTTTCCCCAAGAATTATTAAGAGTATAATCTTTTATTTCCATTATGTCTAAACTTAAAAAAGAAACGAACAACAAATATATCTCATCATTATAAGTTTCTTTGGTAAAAAATAAAGAATCATAAGGAGTTTTTGTGGAAATTTTAGTATTTTCAAGGTTAAAAGCGTGAGTCAATCGAAGCTAGACAATCAGGAAAAACCTGGAAGCACTGGACGGCCGTTTCATTCTATTATGGGACTCCTTAAGAGGCGAGGTCGTGGATGCGCATTGTTGAGTAGTCCCACAATAGGACGAAACGGCCGTCCAGTGCTTCCAGGTTTTCCACCGTGGTCTAACTTCAATTGGCTCAAGCTTTGAACTATGAAAAAATAAAGAAAACAATTCGGTCTAGGCTCGGATAGCATTTCGAATCACTTATAAATTAATTGAAAACAAAATCACACTAGATGCATTCACATGAACATATAGATGAACAAAATCTACATCCCAACGAATAACATTATTGTCGATTTCATCCGGAAATATAATTATTAAGATTTACATGACAAGTGAACCAGTTCATTTAAACAATTATTTTCTCATCATAGTGATAGTTGCAATTTATTTAGCAAAATTTAAAATTATTTAAAATTATTTAAAAAAAAGCCAAACGTATTATTATAAACAAAGACAGATAGTAGCTAGCAGTGGAATCCAGGACTCATGTTCCATCCTACGTGGGACTCATCAATTGGATGTACCTGCATCTCATAGTCAATGTTTACTGTGGGACTCGAACTCAGTAGCTTTCGCCCAAAACACCATCGCGTTATCCAGTAAGCTACTGAGCCCTGATAAACACTTACTTGTGCAATGCTTATAATGTTTGTGAATTAATGCAATATTGAGGCAATAAACACAGTATGCACATACGGCCAATAAGAGACTGATCAATTGCAGTCTTAAACGTCAATGGGAAGATTTAATCAAACAATACCAAGTGAATTTGAAGTGTATTATTATTTGATTAGAGTTAATAACAATAATAATTATATTTTATTAAATTATTTATGTACCATCTATTGTTCAATAAGTTAGACAGATAATGCGAAACTTCAGTAGATGAAAGTAATTGAATCTGTTCAATTATTTTTAAAATAATATAAATATGAATTATCAAATTAAAACAAATAGGGTAGTTATTTAAGTTCACTTAGTATAGTTTAATTGAATCTTACCACTCATGTTTAGGACTACAATTGATCAGTCTCTTATTGATATATGTGTATACTGTGTGTATTGCTTCGATATAGCCTTAATTCACAAGCATTTTAAACAAAGATGGAATCCAGGAAGCGCATTTTTTCTTATTTGAAACTAGTCAGCACAAGCAAGTGGCTGAGTGGATAACGCGATTGCGTTTGAAGCAAAAGGTACTGGGTTCAAGTCCCAGAGTGAACATCAACTCTGAGGTGCAGATTCATCCAGCTGATGAGTCCCATATAGGACGAAACGCGCTTCAAACTAGATCCCATTGCTAGCCACTATCCATCTTTGCTTATAGATAGTTATTTTATTCTGAAAAATGATTAAAAGATCAATAACTGAATAAACAAATAAATAAATAAACAATAGAATTTTCTGAAATAATTAAACATGGAACAATAATTGATCATATAAAAATTTAATAATTTAAACAAATAAAGGTACAATAAAAATGTGAAACAATTATACATGGAAATTAATTAGAATGATTGATATTAATTAGGAACGTATGAGGATTTGTAGAGATTGTAGTAGTTTAATAGTTGGAATCATGTGTTAATTAAAACTAGACCAACATTTGGGAAACCTGGGAGCATTGAATGGTTGTTTCATTCTAGTATGTGACTCCTCAACAGTGTGCATCTACGATTCCGCTCTCTAGAATCCAAGTCAGAGCCTACCGATCAAGTGTGTGAGTGCTCAAATTTTAGACCACTGACCAGAAATCAGACAGTGTTAATGTTTAAATTCAACCAATTTATGAAATTGCACCACCGTTCACTATTATCTTCAGTGAGTTATTATCTCACATCAGACCCGGTTGAACTCCACTGGTCTCGGCTTCTCACTAGATCTCCAGGAAATTCCACTTGAAACCAATCAATGTTGAGCATATGAAACGGCTTTTCAGTGCTTCCAGGCTTTCCGTGGTGGTCTAGCTTCAATTGATTCATGATTTCAACTATGAGAATATTAAAATCTCCACAAAACCATTTCTGATCTTTTTTTAATCTATCAGAATGGAACACTTCTAAACTACAACATTATTTATTGTCTCATATTTATCCTTAATCCTTATATTTTACTTTAAAAAAAATCGATCAACTGAATTCATGCATTAACTATTAGGTTATTTCACGACACTCTTCATGACTGAT